TATTCCAAAAAAGAAATGCATAACCCAGAAATCTGTTGCAAACATGTTGTATTTTCAAACATGTATAACTCGTCCACAAATAGACTTTAGTACATGATTTTTTCCATCAGTTTAGAAGAAGTTAATGTCTATACAACCAAGTGGATAATTTTACATAACGGAGGTGTTGAGCGCGATGGTGACCACGTAGCATGGTCCCGACGTCGGGTCTCCTGGCTCTTAGTCTAATCTCTCTCAACCTGTTCCATACTGTTTAACCGGATATCCTCCGAAGTCCAGGCACCCTGGAAGCTGTGCTCTCACCCGTGGCAGTACGATCACGCAAATGTAGTACCCGGATGTACCGATCTTGGGCTGCAGTGGACTCGAGGTCTGCCTGTACGGGGACGGTCATTTGTTATACCTTTTTGGTTGTAACGAGCTGCAAGCCGTGATATCGTGCTCAGACTAACATTCAGACACCTTGCGACAGAAAATTGGTAATCTCCAGCGTGCATTCTTTCAATGGCGATGTCCTGTGTCGCAGCGTCCAGACGTGGCGGTGTGATTTGACCTTGGAACTTTCAAGTCGAATGCCGATTTCCGAAAGTAATCTGGATTTTCACTGGCAGGCAGTGCATGCTCTTTGCTGCACAATTTCAACTGGAAGGGGATTTCTGCTGCGTCGTGGCGATGCCTTTTTGCTTCTTCTAAGAAATCTCATCAAAATCAACATTTTCAGGTAAAGTCGATTTTTCACTTGTGCAATAGTGTAAAATCGTGTTATCAACACTTTACATATTTTGACGATTGTTTGAACACAATTGGTAATTAATAGATTTTTAAAAATACAAAACGCCTACGCGTTTCCTTTTTGGGCATAGCATACAATAGTTATTTACAAGATGTTCTTTGTTGTTTGTGAACCACTACGAGACATTGCCTTAACTGATAAAATAGTCTGTCAGTCCTTAGTCCATTACATTCCATCGGGATACCCTTTATCTGGATGTGAACTATCTTTAGTAACCTGAGAGGCCAATGAAACTGACCTGGCGTTCAGTATTTATATATTTGCCCAGCATGATCGTTACAACAGTTGGCTGCACGTCAAGACAAGACCACACACCTCTACCTACACCACGTAAACATGAGTCTTATGGCGTCACTCGTTTATCCGTTGGCACCAGTTACGTCATATGGCAAGGTTGGTTGGTTAGTTTGTTGTCTAACGCCACACTCGGGAATGTTTCCAGCTATATGGAGGCGGTCTGTGAATAATCGAGCCTGGACCAGACAATCCAGTGATCAACATTATGACATATGACAAGGAACCCAAGCCATCAGTGTACATTATGGACAAAAAACTGTTGGTAATTGGGCAAAATATGGATCAACAACATTATTTAGTTACTTGTAATATCTGTACTGGACTATCAAACTACTTGATAAATACTTTTTTTGTTATAAAAGTGGAAGACATAAATTATATATTTTCGTGTAAACATGACTTTTTAGTATGGTCGTGGGTACAAAAACACATCCTGCGCGGACAAAAACCGAATCGACTTTACAAGGGTTAACTCAATGCCTCCGAATATAACAAAAGATTAATCACACTCAGATTCAGGGTTATGGCACAGTAATGTATGGTTGTTAAGTTGTACACATGTTATCTGGCATGTTACACACATGTCTGTGGTGTTGCTATGATAGGTAGTTACAGTGAGAGAGCGGTTCGTCAGGTTGAAACTGCAGAACATGCGTCTGCTATGGAGTCAGTGTTTCACTTACTGACATGCTATCAGCAAAACCATGGCCTTTATATGCTTCTTGAGATTCACCCCAGAACAGTCTATAAAATGGGCGTTGAGGTTTTAGCCCGTGCCCTACGTTGAAATTGATGCAATCAGATAGTTGATGTAGATGTTGACCCGTCAGTAAGTTCTGACAATGGACTCGGGTAGCCTTAAACTCATTATTAACTCAATATGCGTTGACTTTATGCCTTAGTGCACCATTTGACAAAGAAGATATGGGAACAATGCTTCATTTATCGTATTTGTTATCGCTCCCAAGCTCTATTCGTTTGCGCCATACGCTTGAGTGTGGTGAGGTGAGGTGAATTTGGGTTTAACGTCGTGCTTGAGAATATTTCGCTCATATGACGACGTGCATGCGTGTGTATGTGTATGTGCGGCTGCTTGTACTAACCCAGACTTAAGCTGGTTAAGTTAGCTCACTGAGATACCATGCCCCAGTGAAGCATGAATACCCCAATCAGACACATTATACTGACTCCGAGCCGACCAGTCCTTGTTGTACCAATTAATGCTGAGCGCCAGGCAGGGACCAACAAGTACAATATTTTAACGTCTTTTGGTATGACGCAGTCGGGGATCGAACTGGGACCTTCCACTCTCCGGGCGGACGCTCTAACCACTACACCACGGAGGCGGTCCCATACGCTTGGGACTCGAAGAATATGTGATGTCTTTTGCAACCAAGCAGAATGGGCTTTGCAGTCTGACGTCTGTCGTCCAGTTGCAAAAGTGAGAGGTACCTGCGGTTCGAAATCCTTCCACATATAAAATCTCATGAGGCATTTAGAAGTTGGTGTAATATTACAAGAAAAATCTAATGGATAACAACTCCTTGATATGTTTTTCACAACGACTCAAGGCCAGTCCTTGCCCTTCGTCAGGTGGATAATGATTATAGTGAACAGCACAGTACAGTACAGTACAGTACAATATATATATATATATATATATATATATATATATATATATATACATACATACATACATATATATATATATATATATATATATATATATATATGTATGTATACACACATACATACATACATACATACATACATGCATACATACATACACATACATACATGCATACATACATACACATACATACATGCATACATACATACATGCATATATACATACAACACATACACACACATACATGCACACACATACCTACATACATACATACACATACATACATACATACATACATACATACATACATACATACATACATACATACATACATACATACATACATACATACATACATACATACATACATACATACATACATACATACATACATACATACACATATATATGTACAGGAAGCCAGATATGTAAATATAGTTTATACAAGCGCAAGGGAAGAAGGAGTTACCTGATTAAGTGTGTACAAAAACTGAGGTTAGATGAAAGGAAAGGATACAATGATGTGGTATTTTGTTACAACTTACTGTACTGTTCACTATGATCATTATCCACCTGACGTAGGGGCAAGAACTAGCCCAGAAACGTTGTGAAAAATAAATCAAGTTATCCATAAGATTTGTCTTGTATTCCTTCCACATATAGTGATACGAAAACATTCAGTGAAGCATACAATACTAATCATTTACATACCCCACCCTGCTACACACTACCGTGCAGTGCTACACACAATGATATAATGATACAGATAACTATACAGTGATAAACACAACTATACAGTGATACACACAACCATACAGTGATACACACAACCATACAGTGATACACACAACTATACAGTGATACACACAACCATACAGTGATACACACAACCATACAGTGATACACACAACTATACAGTGATACACACAACCATACAGTGATACACACAACCATACAGTGATACACACAACCATACAGTGATACACATAACCATACAGTGATACACACAACCATACAGTGATACACACAACCATACAGTGATACACACAACCTTACAGTGATACACACAGCCATACAGTGATGCACGCAACCATACAGTGATACGCACAAGCATACAATGATACACACAGCCATACACTGATGCACAAAACCATACAGTGATACACACAACCATACAGTGATACACACAACCATACTGCAACACACAACCGTACAGTGATACACACAACTATACAGTGATACACACAACCATACAGTGATTCACACAAACATACAGTGATACACACAACCATACAGTGATACACACAACCATACAGTAATACACACAACCATGCAGCAACACACACAACCATACAGTGATTCACACAAACATACAGTGATACACACAAACATACAGTGATACACACAACGATACTGCAACACACAACCATACAGTGATACACACAACCATAGAGTGATACACACAACCATACAGTGATACACACAACCATACAGTGATACACACAACCATATAGGAACACACAACCATACAGTGATCCACACAACCATACAGTGATACACACAACCATACAGTGATACACACAACCATACAGCAACACACATGACCGTACAGTGATACACACAAACATACAGTGATACACACTACCATACAGTGATACACACAAACATACAGTGATACACACAACGATACTGCAACACACAACCATACAGTGATACACACAACCATACAGCAACACACACAACCATACAGTGATACACACAACCATACTGTGATACACACAACCATACAGTGATACACACAACCATACAGCAACACACGCAACCTTACAGTGATGCACACAACCATACTGTGATACACACAACCATACAGTGATACACACAACCATACAGCAACACACACAACCATACAGCAACACAAACAACCATGCAGTGATGCACACGTGCATACTCTGATATATACAGGCATGCGGTAATACACACAACGATGTGATGCAGAAAAAGTCACAAAGTATTCAAATTGATCTCTCATGTATTATTCAATCATACAAAAGGACCTACGTTATTTAGGTTTAGAGTACACCACCCCAAAACCTTATTTCTGTCGATTCATCATGAATATTCATCCACCATTTACCTGTTACCTGTAGTCAGTGTGTGTATCCTGGCAAGATAACTATGTGAAACCGCCATATCTGCCTAAGTAAACAATGACACTGCAACCTGCACAACTTGCCGCTCTATATAAATGCACGTTTCGGGACACTACAATCAGTGAACACATTGAGTTACGTCACCATCATGAATACCTTCCTCGTGTGCCTTTTTGCTGTGGCAACATGTTTGGCAGTGGAAGGAGAAGGGTTCCATGTTCCAAGAAATGACGATGATCCATCGACAGCGTATCCCGAACAGTGGTTCAGTCAGAAACTGGACCATTTCAACGTGGTTGATACTCGCTACTGGAAGCAGGTGAGTTGGTTTCTTGATCTTCGTTCTTTCAATGAGATCTTCTAGCGCAGAAATGGGTTTGGGATTCATGGAAAGCAAATGAATGGCCACAAGTAAATACCCGGCCCCACACCGTCGGGATGCGATGAAATTCAACGATATCCAGGAAGTCTCAGAGGCGGTGGCGTTAGTTTAGTGGTTAAAGCATTTGCCTGTAACAAATTATTCTTGGTGCCCTTGTAATAGTTGCTAGATGGACCTTCCGCTTATTTTGATGAACACGTCTCTCCATTCAGAGTTGTATCGTGCAAATGAAAGTCATTCATGTCTATTTTCGTTGCATGTTTACAGAGGTATTATGTCGTCGACCAGTTCTATAAACCAGGCGGACCAGTCTTCTTGTTCGTAGGACCACAGGAAGCTCTTACTCCTACTATATTTACTGGGAATGGAGCTTGGTTAGAGTATGCCAAGACCTTCCACGCCATTGGCTTTGCTGTGGAGCATAGGTTTTATGGGAAAAGTCACCCAACACCGTAAGTGACTGTTTTGACAGATTTCTTCATGAAAACATGCGTTAGGGATGACTTGAACTTGTCCATTTTCTGTCTACAAATGTCAAGGCACCATTGAGGCTGCTCTTTCTATAAAAGTTATTCAGAAGTTGTTTGATCAGGGTCATAGTAAACATTTCACTCTAGACATGTGGGGAACGTTTATAACTTCAACACATCAGTAACCAAATGACAGAGATGACACAACTTTATGGATGATCAACTTCTTTGCTTTCACACTAGCGACGTTCCGGTCTAGCTTCATATACCGTGTTCAAGCATATGGGGGAATGATGGGGTACACCAGTTTAAAAACAGGATACATGTACATATGATAATAAGATAACAATAGCAAAGGTGGGATGACAAAGCAATTAGCGAATGACAACTAGTGAATGTAAGTTAATTAGACAGAAGCCAGGGAGGTGGCGGATTAATTAGAGGGAAATCAGTGGTGAGGGAAGTTACTTAGGCAGGTAAATGAGGAGCCAGAGTGGGTTGTGTAGAGTAATTATTTGTGGATTTGTTGGTTGTAAGCTGATGGGATGAAATAGCAATGATCCCTAATAATAAAAGGATTATAACGACGTATTTGTAATGCCTAAACCAATTGGCGCTGAGTGTAATCATGTTTGTTGTTTGTATGTGTTTTGACAGTTTCCCAGTTGATGCTGAGGGGATTTCGTGATGTGTTCCGAAATGGCTGATTTGGTGTCTACATTGTTTGAGGATGCCTTATGTTATTTGATGCGTTGCTGAGTGGTCTGGATGTTTCCCCAATGTCGTTGCTGCCACAGTCGCAGCTGATGTTGTAACCCACATCTTTAGGCTGTTGTTGTTTTGTAGTGTGTTTCCTACCTTTTCGGGGCGGTGGGGTAGCCTAGTGCTTAAAGCGTTAGCTCGTCACGCTGAAAAACCCGGGTTCGAATCCCCACATGGGTACAATGTGTGAAGCCCATTTCTGGTGTCCCCCGCCGTGATGTTGCCGGAATATTGCTAAAAGTGGCGTAAAACCAAACACAGTCAGTCAGTCAGTCCTACCTTTTCCTTAATGATAGTTTTGAGAGGTGTGGAGAAGTGAGTGTCTATGCCTGCTTGCTGCTTAAGTAAGTGACTGATGTGGTTAGCGTCGTTACTGTGAAGATAAAGAAGTTGATTATCCATAAAATTTTGGCATTGCTATACTACAAACTTCTAGAATGCCACTCAAACAAATCAACGGAAAGTATGTCCGATGTAAGATCCAATGTACTTTCCAATGTAAAATATGTACCTGTATTTGGCATGTCTTTATGAAGGCTCTTACCTAGGTTCCATCAGTGGGACAAGATAAGCTAACCTTTTCAGTGTGACGTAGCACTACCTTTGTGATAAGGCATGGCCATGATAGTCAAAATCTTACAATGGACTTACTGCAGCAGATTTTTTTGGTGTGTATGAGTAAGGGACCAGAGACGCAATTACCTTTCGATTATTGCTTCAAGATAAATATGTTCAGAGGTTACATCAGTTTCATAGAAGACATCCAGAATGTTCATCGACTTGTCTGTCACGGAATCGTCGTATTCGCCACAAAATATTACGTATTGTATCGTATTGTTTGTTGTAACTCCAGAGACTTGAGCGTCAAAAGTCTACAATACCTGACCATTGAACAAGCTATGGAGGACTTTGCCACCTTCATAGTCGCAACAAACAAAGAACGCAACTTTACGAACCCGAAGTGGATCGCATTTGGTGGATCATACTCAGGTGATATGCTGGCATGATGCATTGTGTTAGAAACACCTTACTGACATCGTGGAAGAAAACTAGTTACTCATGAAATTGTTGTTAGACAAATGCACTACTCAGACCTCAAGCCAACAAAGAACGTTTTGTGCTACGGTCAGTTACATTGCAGTTGAACAAAGACGCCAATAAATCGAAATGTGATATCAATATCTCAAGATGAACCTGTGGTTGATTTTAATGTACAGGTATACAATTGTCATTTACTTTCCTAGTTTGGTTGCTAGCTGTTAAACGACCCCAGTCCAGTCACTGATATCTACAGCATCGTTGAACGCAATTGGAGTGAGTGAGTTAAAATTTAAAGTCACATCGGCAGTAGTTAAGCCATATCATGACTAACTGAGAAAGTTGTAAATTTATAAATGAATAAAAACAAATTTAGATAATATACTTACCTGTCTGCAAAGGAAAGTAAAATAACTAGAATATCATAGTTATATTGATGTAAAACTAGTACGAAAGTCTAAAACATCCTAATTATGAAAGACACTGCAATATGAAAAACAGGCTATAGATTGCCAAAAACTGAAGGTAGATCACCATACTAGGGATGAACGCAATTGGAATACCATGACTTGTCTCATCCAAGTCAGCGAGTCTGACCCCCCGATCCCGTCAGTCGCCACTCACCCTAAGCATAAGATGTTGAGGACCACACAATACTCGCTATCTGTCACATGAATCTGTAGTTTACAATATTCATTTGAATTGTAGCTATGATGTCAACGTGGTTCCGGTCCAAGTTTCCCCATCTCGTAGCCGGAGCTGTAGCAGACAGTGCACCAGTCGCTTCGCCAGTGTTTGCCGCAGGTGATAATATGTTTGAATGTATGTTTTTAAACGCTATTTCAGGCGATAATCTAGATCACTGACCACAGCTTTAAGTCAAATCTGGACCTGACAGACCAGTAATTGTTTGCTGCAGGTAATTATGTTTTGTCTTGATTGATTTTAAACGCCGCTCTAGTCATTAGTCAGATCAGTGTCCACGGCCTGTACTACCTAGCATCCGGACCTGACAATCCAGTGATTGTTTGCGGCAGATCGTTATAACTTTGTTTGTTTGTTTTTATGCCACACAACCAAGGCAATAATCCATTTCAGTGATCACAGCCTGTTCCTATCCGTATCATCAGCAGACAATCCAAAGATTGATAGTCGCGACCGGTGTTATCTGGCCTCAGCAAAGGTTACTGGGACCAATTGTAGCCCAGACCACTGCCAAGACACGGCCGATAGAAAACGTTATGTTTGCCTATGTTTAAAATATTCTGTTATGATCAGAAACTTTCTTGTCAACGGTTTCAGAGTACCATGTTGCTATCGGAGACGATCTACGCACAGAATCAGGATGCTACCAGGCTGCGTCAGATATATTTGATGAAATCAGGGCAAGTCTCAAGACGGATGCTGGCGTCAAGAAGCTGCAGTCGCTCTTCAGGTCAGGTGGTTAAGTGGTCCCTTTTGAGACATGTCTCGTTATTTCGTTCAGAGACAATCAAAGATTTTACGGTCTCTGGTGTCTGTTGAACTTTGATGTGTCAAACGTACAGTTGTCTCCAAGTAAAAGATTATTCAGTACGCATGTCCTATATTCATTTCCAAATTTTTTTTTTTAAATTTAAAGTAGAATCAAAAACGTAGATTTTATTATATCAAAACATAAATTATTTACGAAATCGCATTCGAAAAACAAGATAAAACAAGCAAACATCCCTAAGCATGTCACAATGATGATTTTCACAGCATTATGTGTGTCATCTTCATCAATTGAGCGTACTCGCGTGTGTCTGAGTTTGTAAGTGCATGCGCGTGTTGGTTAACGCCGTTCTGTTACATCTAATATGAGGTGTTCGTCCATATAGTCAACTCTGGACCAAGTAATCCGGTGATAGATACTGTGAGCAATACTCAGGATACAGTTATCATTAACAACTGCCCACGAAATCAGGGTACGTTGACACTAGGGCTGCGCAATATAACCGGTTTACCGGTTTGTAGACATGAAAACGATACGTATTGCGACACGCTGATCGAAAACAGGTATTTTGACTTGCATTCGGAAAACGTCGTAATCCTCGGAAATCTTCGGATATTTCCTTGTTTCATTTGTGCCAAATATTATTCACATTTTTATTTTATCATGATTGAAAGTTGTTGTTAAAGCTTAATCAAGCATAGTGATTTTGTTGTGTTTTTGCTCAATAAATCAACCAGTAACTCGATTATAAGTAGTGTTTTGTTTAAAAATATTTCATGCAATATATTGCAATACATATCGCAATACATGCTTTCGCATCGCAAGATATCGCAATATGAACATTTCCTGCAATACCCACCCCTAGTTGACACAGATCCGCACACACATTTACACACACGCTCGGATTACCCACGAGTGCTGGGAGGTTGGAGTTCATCCACGTTCATTTGTTACCGTTGTTGTGCCGCTACGGACGAAACTCCTCCGGTATTAGCTTCATGTTTCAACATGTTTGGGGAACACAAACAGTGTGCGAAATAGCCACTGGTCCGCTAGCCCATGACTAGTAAAAATCCAGTAAAACTCCACAGTCACTGGCCCGACTGGCTAGTTAATTTTCATGGGGTCATTTTGTGAATATATCAATCTCCCCGACTTGTTAAGTTATAATTCACTTGTAAATCATGCAAGATTATGGTCTGATAAAAATGTTCATCATATTAGCAATTTAATGATGAAACCCGTGTCTACATTCGAATTTCGTGTTAGTGAATTATTTTGTGGGCTAGTAACTTTCAAGCATAGCTAGCCCGACTGGCTGGCAAAATTTGGAAACTATTTCGCTCACTGAACACAAAGGACCATTTATCCCAACTTGATGGTCATAGATCAGTAACTTAAGTGTTTGAACACACCCTTTTCCTGTCCACAGAATACGTACTATGTTGAATTGATCTAAATAGACGTGAATACATAGTGTAGTGATGACTCGTTACATATACTGCAGGTTTTGTGACTTCAATGCTTCAAACAAACTGGACGTAGAGAATATGAATATGTACCTCCTTACCCTGATTGGTTGGACGGCAATATTCAACAAGGACACTCCCGATACCATGGTATGTGCCTTAATGTGCCCAAACCTTATCTGTCCTTACATTTACAGACCCGTGAAGTCCCGGGTTAAATTGATCTTCAGTTACCCATGCTTGACGTAAGAGGCGAGTAACAGGATCGCTGACTGGTTGGCACACGCCATCGTATCCCAGTTGCGCAGATTGATGCTCATGCTGTTGATCATTGGACTGTCTGGTTCAGACTCGATTATTTACAGACCGACGCCATATAGCTGGAATATTGCTGAGTGCGCCGTAAAATTAAACTCACTCACTGCATAACGACATCGGCTATAATCGATTCTCGACCAGACAAACACGTGATTGACATTATGAGCATCGATATATGCATTTGAGATACTGTGACATGCATCAACCAAGTCGACAAGCCTGCCCACCCGATCCAATTGTCTGTTACGACAAGCATGGGTTGCTGAATACCAGTTCTTGCCCGAAGTGAAATGATAGAATATTGCTGTTTGAGTTGTTGAGAAACGAACGATTCTACATGAAGCTTTACACTACACTGTATGTTTAGCATCTCCGATTATCAGTGTATCATATCTTCAAACTTGTGTTAAGACTCTGAAGTCCATCGCCACCATTGCTTTATTTCGGAAATGACGTCACAATCTCTCTGTCCAATCATGATAACTCTTCTGCCCCGACTGCAATACGATTGGATGGCAGCTTTTAGCGTCATGGCGGGCGGGTTAGGGTGAGCCAGTGGTTAAAGCGTTCGCTAGTTACGCCGAATACCCAGGTTCGATTCTCCACATGGGTACTATATGTGAGGGGTGCTTCTGCTGTCCCTCGCCGTGATATTGTTGGAATATTGTTTAATAAGTCCATGTTCACTCACTCACCGACGATAACGACATCAAAGCCCACAGATCCGTAGTTCCAGATGTGTATTTGGACACAAACATGGTTTTGCTTTCCAATCTTTTTCAGAGTCCACTGCCCGTCCGGTCCGTGCGTACAATGTGTAAAATATTCACTGACAAAACAGCAGGGACGCCGGTGGAACGATTGGCAAGCTATGCAGGGATCGTCAATCAAAATTACACATCCTTGAAAGGTCAATGTATGAACATTACATTCGCGAGAGCAGTGAGTGTGGGCAGCGATATAAACTACAGCAGGGACGACGTTCTGGCAGGTAATGGCGTGTTTTCTATCATTTGTTAGGAATACTATGCACACTTACCTCAATGAGACCCGTGACGATCCGGGGTAGAATAGGTCTTCAGCAACCCATGCTTGCCACAAAAGGCGACTATGCTTGTCGTAAGAGGCGACTAACGGGATCGGGTGGTCAGGCTCGCTGACTTGGTTGACACATGTCATCGGTTCCCAATTGCGCAGATCGATGCTCATGCTGTTGATCACTGGATTGTCTGGTCCAGACTCGATTATTTACAGACCGCCGCCATATAGCTGGAATATTTCTTAGTTTAGTTAAAACTAAGCTCACTCACTCACTCACTTACCTCAATGAATTAAGTCTGCGAAAAATAAGGGGGGTTGAGTATGATTTTACGGCGCTTTTATATTCCATCGTTGTCATTACGGGGACATTAGAAATCAGCTTCGTGCATTTCACCCATGTGGGGAATCAAACCAGAACTGTTGGGTTTAAATGTTGCTTTTAACTGAAGTTTGGGCGGCAGTATTATACCATACAGGTATTCGAAATCATACGTGATTATAAGGGGGGATCCATTTATACATATCAGACTATTACTACTGGTTGGGCAGCATGACTTTAGAATCTTGGAGTTTCAGAATATGTCTTAATTCCACTAACCCATACTGAATATTATGTTCATTATAACCATAATCAATATGAACAGTGAATGATACATACAAAAGGCAAATTATGAAGTGATTGCTATTTTAAAATGAAAGCAAACATTACTAATCTCCAGGTCTAGGTTGAGAACTTTTAAAAGAAAGGCGAGGACTTTTCACGTATCAAACAACAGTACCCATGCTGCCAACTGAAATATGTTGTGTATGGTTTGAAAACAGAAACACTTTCCTGTCATTGTGGTTCGCCCCGATACTCCTGCTTAAATTAAGTTCATTAATTTGTACTTCGATGAATTCTTGACGAACAGAGGCAGATCACGTTCAGAACCACATGATCAGACCCTACCAACATAAAACACGTATGTTAATAGGCGTTTATAAGGCACTTATAAGGGTCGATCTGTCTCGTACTTATTGTTCACACACTACAAAGAATAATTGAAAATATCCACTTTTTAATGTTGCATTCTCAGTCTAGTGTCCATCCGTTCTTGTAATACATGCTTTTGTAAATAATAATAATAATAATAAGTCATCTTCTATAGCGCACGTTTCCAAACACCAAGTGATTGCTCGCGGCGCTTAATCAGAATCTGATTCTTATTACCCCGGATAACCCAAGCTGCCTGTTAGGCGCTAGAAGGTTATAGTCACATGACTTTATCCAACCGGGTACCCATTTTCTGCTGGGTGAACAGCGGCAATTTGAACAAACTCACTTGCCTAAGGTGAGACCACATGTATCACGTATGCTTCGTTGTGGGGCAGGACTGAAGTCCTAGAAACTCTCAGGAGTCAAGCTGCCAAACACGGTCACCCTCCGAGTACTGTCCGAGCTCGACTGAAGTAATTAATACACACCGAATAATATTTATCAGTATTTTACTATAGTAAGAACCACTTTCTACCAGAAATGTCTTGAACAAAAACATTTTTGCAGAAATTACTCAAGTAACACATTAATTCAGCCAGATATTTTTGCAGAAATTGTATTTCTAACCCAATTTGTGGGCACATGGCTAGGAATACCTACTGGTACATAAATAAGATCACTCTTGATGAGTTGTCCAATGATTCCTTCTGTGTGGTCAGGTTGGCTTGTTGGCTTGTTCCGAAGTTGTGCCGACCAATCTTATGTCTTACGAATTATAGTAGTCAAGTGTTGCCAGTTTATTGTCGCCTTTTCACAGTCCATTAAACAAAAGTACACAATTCCAGGAGTGGCCTCCATCAATTTAATTTTCTCTACGTTCCAAAATAAATCACCATTCTATCAAAAGTTGAGTGGAATGTTAGTGTATATGGTTTTTCTACTTTGTTATTTAGTGGTAATTCAAAATAACAATTGTATTTTCTGGCTCATCGATCTCTTGATTGGCTGGTGTCTTTACAGACCGTCGTCGCATGCAGGATGACTGCTCTGCGATGTCAGGCTGTAAATGCCTACCTTTTTAGGCGCATTGTGCTTACGCTTTTTGTGAACTCCTGGTGACCTCAATGATTGTCAGTGGTCCATAGGATCCGTGAGGATCCGGGTTAGGATTGGTCTTCAGCTACTAAAGCTTGTCGTAAGAGGCGATTAACTATGGTGTGGTCAGGCTCGCTGACTTGGCTGAATTATGTTATGGTATCCCAAATGCTTATATCGATGCTCATGCTGTTGATCACTGGATTGTCTGGTCCAGACTCGTTTATGGACAGACCCCCGCCAATAAATAGCTGGAATATTGCTTAATGTGTCGTTAAACAACACACCAACCAACCATTCGCATGAATGTCAGTTCTATTTCGTCTTTTACACCGAATGGAACCTGTTTGTAAGGATGTCAAGACTAGGTATTCCTTTACACTGATTATTTATATCTGAGGATGTAAAGAGAAATGTTCAGACATGCTTCCAGATGCCTCTTCGTGTATCATTATTGAAATGTTGACCATCTTTACAGGACGTCAGTGGAGGTATCAGAAGTGCACTCATGTCGGATTGTTCACCCCAACATATGCAAACAATCAACCCTTCGGACAAGCCTTGAGTGAAGAGTAAGTGCCAGCGTTGTGTGATCATATACTCCACATGCCAAATCAACCTTTAGGTAGTTCTAAACGTCTGCCAGTTGCAGCGGTCCTGCCCTTGGTAGATCCCTAGAACCGATGCTGGTTGTAGAGAATGATGAGGACTGAGTAACTGTATAAATCGTTTCTTGCACCTAGCAATATTAAAGCTTCATGACGTAGGTCTTTGAATGATCAAATTTGGACAGATAATGCAGTATTGACGTCATGTGCATTTGGGTTAAGATGACATCCATCAAGTCATCGAACCTTACCGTTAAAATACATACATCGCTTCTTATGACGAGAATGTGTTGCTGTTGATCTTCACGGACCATAGGGTAGTGGATATGAACAAGAAATGCTGACCACGCAAAAATTGCATGTAGTCGTAGACATCCTGTTAAACATCACACTGAAATCGACCCGTGAAGGTCCGGGTAAGAATGTGCCTTCAGTAACCCATGCTTGTCGTAAGATGCGACTAACGGGATCGGGTGGTCAGGCTCTCTGACTTGGTTGACACATGTCATCGGTTCCCAATTGCGCAGATCGATGCTCATGCTGTTGATCACTGGATTGTCTGGTCCAGACACGATTATTTACAGACCGCCGCCATATAGCTGGAATATTGCTGAGAGCGGCGTAAAACTAAGCTCACTCACTCACTCACACTTAAATCTGTCGGCGTTCACAACAATCTGAGATGAAAACAGGCGACGTTGAGTTTGTGGTTCCTATGTTTCCAGGTACTTTCTTAAAGGCTGTGAAGGCTATTTCGGCCCAGAATTCAACCGATCTCTGGTTCTGAAAGGCCACGACGAATTAATTACTAACTACGCCGGACTTGACGTCAAGAACACCAACATCGTCTACACCCAAGGGTCCTTTGACCCATGGTACAAGTATGGATTTCAGACGGATCCGAACCCGGGAGCCACTGTAATATTCATTAACGGTAAGCTTCAACCTACAGTGATGGAATAATGCATGTTGAATTTTTTAAGATTGTTTGAGTTTGGAAAAATTTAGCTGGGAAAAGAATTAGGCTACCTTTCTGGAATCTCTGGAAGACACCATTGATGTAGGTTGATGTAGGTTGCTTAGCTCTGTAGTAAACGCTGATAAATTGGGAAATCGACATGATCTGTACCTCCACATGGTAATGAGTGATATAAAGAAGCGCATCTGAGGAAACAAAATATACTTTGCTGAAAATCGAAGATGCTAAACCTACAGTGTACTGTAAAGCTTCATTTTTAATCATTCAATCAGCAATATTCTATCAATTTACTTCCTTATTAACCCGTAAAGATCCGGTTTAAAACTGGTCTAAAACAACCCATGCTTGTCATAAGATCGGGTGGTCAGGCTTCCTGACTTGGTTTATACAACTAATGGTTTGCCAGTTGTGTAGATCGGTGCTCATGATATCAGTCACTGGATTATCTCTTCTAGGCTCGATTTGTCATATAGCTGTAATATTGCTAGGTGCCGTATTAAACAACAAATCAACCAACCAACTATCCTGATACTCTTTGACAGCTATAAAGTGCAGTATCCTCATGTATGTTGTAACCGTGCCTGTTGCAGGTGGTGGCCACACCCCAGACATGGCAGTTCCTGCGGCCACAGACATCGCCGGGGTCACACAAGCCAGAGGCAGGATTCGGCAACTCATCAGAAAGTGGATATCATCTGGTGCAGTCCCGATAGTCGGGTGAAGTAGACGTCCTAATATTGACAATTCATTCTCATTGATGAACTCGTAACAGTTATACAATTGTCCAATCGTTAATGTAGATCACAATGTCTATTCTGTACGGCCATCTTACTGTATAAGTAGAACATGTCCAAGGAATAAAATGCATGTTTCAGAAATATTCTTGGATTTGATTCCATCATTTCTTCTCCTTGTGGTACAAGTAGTTATTGTATATGTCCCTTGGACTGATAGTGGATTTAATACATCATCGATGATATTAAATTTGTGATTAAATTATGCTTTGTCACACTGTCCTATAAAGTTTGATGAAAGTAATCCGCAAAATAGTGACACAACACAAATTGATATTTTGTGGATTTCTTCATACATGCTCAACTGTACACTACAGCAATTGGCCTCTTCACATGAAGCGAAAGTCCCATTATTCTGAAATCTGAAAATTCTGGTTCTATATACTTTACTATTAAAGGTAGCTGTTTAAATCATATATCAATAAATGCAAGCAGAAATGGTATATGGACAACGATTAGAACATCTAAAGGGTTTCGATAAACAAGTTGGGCACGAGTCGGTATTCAGGTTGTTCCATAATAACACGAGTGGGTCAAGAATCCTGGAAACCCTGAAGCAAGGGGGTCATCGCTTCTGGATCAATGTCCAGCTTACCTCCTTACAGATAAATCATACTTTGAACATGCAAAACAACGAAGGGCTGCTTTTGTAGCATGAAGTTTATTTTCAGCGAAATGTTTCTTCTCGGTAATTCAATCATTTTTTTCTAAATTCAGAGAACTTTCTCGTTAGTTCGACTACTAGGTCGCTACTTTAGGTTTCGTTCAAACCAAAAACCTATATGCGCAGGATCGAACAAATACTCGAAAATGAATTCTATTTTCAAGAAAACACAACAACATCTCAAAACAGTTGGTATGCGCATGACCTATAAATATGACCGACCAGTAAACAAATCTCAAACTCCTGGAAACATGTCTTCATGTTTCCTTTTCAACTGAATATTTGAAGAAAGATGTCTTTTTGGGTGTGACTGACTTTGTACCCACCCATTTCACTATCCATCCATTCGTTTGTATGTGTGCGTGATGTACATGTCTACATATTTAGAGCAAGGATAGACGACAAACATATGATGCAGATAACGAATTGTCTTTTATACTTTTATACATTGTTCACAGCATATCTGCGGCAGATCCATTTCATGGCCTGCAATTTTGACATCACATTTTCAGAAAGAGTCCTCTGTGAGACTAAGGAACTGTTTGGAAAAGTGTCAGTCATCCTCCGATACTAAATATCGCCCATGATTCTAAAGCTCCATCGTTAATAATTCTCGATCCTTCATTACCTGTTAGTAATTCCCGCTATATGAAGGCGGCTTGAAGCTAATCGAGACCCAGAAGTGACCATTCAGTTATCATGAGGATCGATCTACGCCATTTCAATACCCTGGCATGCGTCAAACAGGTCTGGCGAGCTTGAGCAAACGATACATTAAGCACAGCTGTCTCTGACAACAAGCATTATGGCATTAAGACATGAAGTTCAGTGTTTCTAAATGCGTTATTAACAATTTGTATACTCCCCAGTTAAATATATATCTTTCTTGCGTTTTAGAAAAAAATGGCCTGTGCATCATCAAAAAGCCGTTTTTACTTGTAGGTCAAGCTAGTATAACATATGACAAGCTAAGCAGATTATGTCCAAAAGAAATGCCAACACAACTCAAAAAAATATCAAGCTACTCCTAAACAAAGCCAGCTCAGCAGACTGTTAGTCGGTCAACAGGCTCTTCAAACAAAGGGGAGCGGGCAGACAGCGGGAAGACTGCAGACAAACCAGCAGAAGGCACAAGGACGAGGAGGGATGAACACTGATCAGCCAATTCAGCCATATGGTGCCAAGTGTGAGCCTGACATCGCACTCCTGCTCCTGGTAGTCTGTTGTTTGCCCTACCTAACAAAGTTGTACTGCGGGAATAATAACACCCAACTTTTATGCGCCACCACGACTCATGCTGTTTGAGTGTCATATGTGTTACACAATCACAATATCGTTTGTTTTCAGTGTACTACCAATGGAACACACACTCTTACATCTAACTAGGAGGGGCGGTGGGGTAGCCTAGTGGTTAAGGCGTTCGCTCGTCACGCCAAAGACCCGGGTTCGATTCCCCACATGGGTACAATGTGTTAAGCCCATTTCGGGGGTTCCCCGCCGTGATATTGCTGGAATATGACGCAAGCGTCCTCGTACTTTAACTATAATAGTTCAGGGCCAAAGTGTGCTTTATTACACCATACAATCATGGTGGTAGAGCGAACTGTATTTCTTAAATAGACGTATTATGTATTGAAATATACACGTATAAAACATGAATAAACACTTGACTTGACTTGACTAATGGCCTTTGCATGGTACCCAGTTCTGATCTGCGGCGTCGGGATGTAAATACTTACTTTGCTTGGAAAACTGTGTGAATCTTTGCCTTTCAGTGGTCAGTCATACTTTTTTCACAGCTATTTTGCCCTTTACATGAGCAATTATCTGTTTTAACTGTGAGTACTGTTTTGAGCCGCTTTCAGCAAAAACAATCCAGCAATATCTGGTCTTGCTTTTAAGACGAAAATATGATGAATCCAGGACATTACTCTATTATCTCAACACTGATTCCACTATGAAAATGTTTGACATGTGTGATAACGGGTGACAATTTAATATGCACTGCTTGTTCGCGTGGTCAAATTAAAGGCAATCTCTTGATCAGGCATGTATTACACACGTCACTGGTTAACCTTTGGTCTGTCCCACAAGATATTGAGGCGGTGGGGTAGCCTAGTGGTTAAAGCGTTCGCTCGTCACGCCGAAGACCCGGGTTCGAATCCTCACACGGGTAGAATGTGGGAAGCCCATTTATGGTGTCCCCCGCCGTTATATTGCTGGAATATTGCTTAAAGCGGCGTAAAACTAAATTCAGTCACTCACCCACCAGATATAACAGACACAAAGCCAGCAATAGCTAACATGTGTAATGAAGTGTGACAGAGAACATGGAGACGTAATACTATGTTGACAACGACGTGGCATGTGTAATGAAGTGTGACAGAGAACATAGAGACGTAATACTATGTTGACAACGACGTGGCATGTGTAATGAAGTGTGACAGAGACCATGGAGACGTAATACTATGTTGACAACGACGTGGCATGTGTAATGAAGTGTGACAGAGAATATGGGGACGTAATACTATGTTGACAACATCGTGGCATGTGAAATGAAGTGTGACAGAGAACATGGAGACGTAATACTATGTTGACAACGACGTGGCATGTGTAATGAAGTGTGACAGACAACATGGAGACGCAATACTATGTTGACAACGACGTGGCATGTGTAATGAAATGCGACAGAGAACATGGAGACGTAATACTATGTTGACAACGACGTGGCATGTGTAATGAAGTGTGACAGAGAACATGGAGACGTAATACTATGTTGACAACGACGTGGCATGTGTAATGAAATGTGACAGGGAACATGGAGACGTAATACTATGTTGACAACGACGTGGCATGTGTAATGAAGTGTGACAGAGAACATGGAGACGTAATACTATGTTGACAACGACGTGGCATGTGTAATGAAGTGTGACAGACAACATGGAGACGCAATACTATGTTGACAACGACGTGGCATGTGTAATGAAATGCGACAGAGAACATGGAGACGTAATACTATGTTGACAACGACGTGGCATGTGTAATGAAGTGTGACAGAGAACATGGAGACGTAATACTATGTTGACAACGACGTGGCATGTGTAATGAAATGTGACAGGGAACATGGAGACGTAATACTATGTTGACAACGACGTTGCATGTGTAATTATGTGTGACAGAGAACATGGAGAGGTAATACTATGTTGACAACGACGTGGAATTTGTAATGAAATGTGACAGAGACCATGGAGACGTAATACTATGTTGACAACGACGTGGCATGTGTAATGAAATATGACAGGGAACATGGAGACGTAATACTATGTTGACAACGACGTGGCATGTGTAATGAAGTGTGACAGAGAACATGGAGACGTAATACTATGTTGACAACGACGTGGCATGTGTAATGAAGTGTGACAGAGAACATGGAGACGTAATACTATGTTGACAACGACGTTGCATGGGTAATGAAATGTGACAGAGAACATGGAGACATAATGCTATGTTGACAACGACGTGGCATGTGTAATGAAATGTGACAGAGAACATGGAGACGTAATACTATGTTGACAACGACGTTGCATGTGTAATGAAGTGTGACAGAGAACATGGAGACGTAATACTATGTTGACAACGACGTGGCATGTGTAATGAAGTGTGACAGAGACCATGGAGACGTAATAATATGTTGACAACGACGTGGCATGTGTAATGAAATGTGACAGAGAACATGGAGACGTAATGCTATGTTGACAACGACGTGGCATGTGTAATGAAATGTGACAGGGAACATGGAGACGTAATACTATGTTGACAACGACGTGGCATGTGTAATGAAGTGTGACAGAGAACATGGAGACGTAATACTATGTTGACAACGACGTTGCATGGGTAATGAAATGTGACAGAGAACATGGAGACGTAATGCTATGTTGACAACGACGTTGCATGTGTAATGAAGTGTGACAGAGAACATGGAGACGTAATGCTATGTTGACAACGACGTGGCATGTGTAATGAAGTGTGACAGAGAACATGGAGACGTAATACTATGTTGACAACGACGTTGCATGTGTAATGAAATGTGACAGAGAACATGGAGACGTAATCCTATGTTGACAACGACGTGGCATGTGTAATGAAGTGTGACAGAGAACATGGAGACGTAATACTATGTTGACAACGACGTGGCATGTGTAATGAAGTGTGACAGAGAACATGGAGACGTAATACTATGTTGACAACGACGTGGCATGTGTAATGAAGTGTGACAGAGAACATGGAGACGTAATACTATGTTGACAACGACGTGGCATGTGTAATGAAGTGTGACAGAGAACATGGAGACGTAATACTATGTTGACAACGACGTGGCATGTGTAATGAAGTGTGACAGAGAACATGGAGACGTAATACTAT